CTTCTCTCTCTACCCCATCTACTGTAATTCATTTCTCTCCTTGTTTTTTTCCCATTCCCCTCACAACCTCTTATATGTAATTTTGTATAACAATGAGGGTCTCCTTCCATTTCCATGCAATTTCCCTTTTCTCTCCCTTTCCCTCCCGCCTCATGTCTCTGTTTAATGTTAATCTTTTCCTCCTGCTCTTCCTCCCTGCTCTGTTCTTAGTTGCTCTCATTATATCAAAGAAGACATTTGGCATTTGTTTTTTAGGGATTGGCTAGCTTCACTTAGCATAATCTGCTCTAGTGCCATCCATTTCCCTGCAAATTCCATGATTTCGTCATTTTTTAGTGCTGCGTAATACTCCATGGTGTATAAATGCCACATTTTTTTTTTATCCATTCATCTATTGAAGAGCATCTGGGTTGGTTCCACAGTCTAGCTATTGTGAATTGTGCTGCTATGAACATCAATGTGGCAGTATCCCTGTAGTATGCTCTTTTAAGGTCTTCAGGGAATAGTCCGAGAAGGGCAATAACTGGGTCAAATGGTGGTTCCATTCCCAGCTTTCCAAGAAATCTCCATACTGCTTTCCAAATTGGCCACACCAATTTGCAGTCCCACCAGCAATGTACAAGTGTACCCTTTTCCCCACATCCTCGCCAGCACTTGTTGTTGTTTGACTTCAGAATGGCTGCCAATCTTACTGGAGTGAGATGGTATCTTAGGGTGGTTTTGATTTGCATTTCTCTGACTGCTAGAGATGGTGAGCATTTTTTCATGTACTTATTGATTGATTGTATGTCTCCTCTGAGAAGTGTCTGTTCAGGTCCTTGGCCCATTTGTTGATTGGGTTGTTTGTTCTCTTATTGTCTAATTTTTTGAGTTCTTTGTATACTCTGGATATTAGGGCTCTATCTGAAGTGTGAGGAGTAAAGATTTGTTCCCAGGGTGTAGGCTCCCTATTTACCTCTCTTATTGTTTCTTTTGCTGAGAAAAAACTTTTTAGCTTGAGTAAGTCCCATTTGTTGATTCTAGTTATTAACTTTTGTGCTATGGGTGTCCTATTGAGGAATTTGGAGCCCGACCCCACAGAATGTAGATCATAGCCAACTTTTTCTTCTATCAGACGGCGTGTCTCTGATTTGATATCAAGCTCCTTGATCCATTTTGAATAAACTTTTGTGCATGGCAAGAGAAAGGGATTCAGTTTCATTTTGTTGCATATGGATTTCCAGTTTTCCCAGCACCATTTGTTGAAGATGCTATCCTTCCTCCATTGCATGCTTTTAGCCCCTTTATCAAATATAAGATAGTTGTAGTTTTGTGGATTGGTTTCTGTGTCCTCTATTCTGTGCCATTGGTCCACCCGCCTGTTTTGGTACCAGTACCATGCTGTTTTTGTTACTATTGCTCTGTAGTATAGTTTGAAGTCTGGTATTGCTATACTGCCTGATTCACACTTCCTGCTTAGAGTTGCTTTTGCTATTCTGGGTCTTTTATTTTTCCATATGAATTTCATGATTGCTTTCTCTATTTCTACAAGAAATGCCGTTGGGATTTTGATTGGCATTGCATTAAACCTATAGAGAACTTTTGGTAATATCACCATTTTGATGATGTTAGTTCTGCCTATCCATGAACAGGGTATATTTTTCCATCTTCTAAGATCTTCTTCTATTTCTCTCTTTAGGGTTCTGTAGTTTTCATTGTATAAGTCTTTCACCTCTTTTGTTAGGTTGATTCCCAAGTATTTTTTTTTTTGAGGATATTGTGAATGGAGTGTTTTTCCTCATTTCCGTTTCAGAAGTTTTGTCGTTGATATACAGAAATGCCTTTGATTTATGCGTGTTGATTTTATATCCTGCCACTTTGCTGAATTCATTTATTAGTTCTAGTAGTTTCTTTGTAGACCCTTTTGGGTCTTCTAGGTATAGAATCATGTCTTCCGCAAATAGTGATAATTTAAGTTCTTCTTTTCCTATTTTTATGCCACTTCTGATACCAATTTTCTATGTTAGTAAGCTTTCAATCTTACTAAGATTGAAATATATCTGAGAAAAACAATTTCAAAGGAAGAAAGGTTTATTTTGACTCACAGTTTTAAAGATTTCAGTTCATGGTCACTTGGCGCTATTGTTTCTGGGCCTGCAGTAAGGCAGAATATCATGGTAGAGAGAGCCTGGGGAGAAAAACTACTCACCTCATGGCAACTGGAAGCAGAGATAGAGAGGGAGGGAGGGAAAAAGGGAAGGAGAAAGAGAGAGAGAGAGAGAGAGAGAGAGAGAGACACTCTTTTAGGACACACCCTCAGAGATCTCCTTCCTCCAGCTAGGTCCCATCTCCTAAAGTTTCTATTGCCTCCAAATAGTGCCACTAGATGGGGACCAAACCTTCAACAAAGAGCCTCTTGGGGATGTTCCAGGTCCAATCTATAACAGAGCTTTTCAATTTTGTTTATCTTTTAAAAGAATCAAGTCTTGGTCTCATCAATCCTTTGTACTGTTCTTTTAATATTTATTTTATTTATTTTTGCCCTGTCCTTAGTTATTTCTTTCCTTCCACTGATGTTGAGTTTTGTTAATTCTTGTTTTTCTAATACCTAGAGATGTATTATTAGATTATTTATTTATGATATCTCTGTTCTTTTAATTTTGGCATTTATCAATTTAAGCTTACCTCTTATAATTCTTTTTCTGTATCCCATAGGTTCTCACATAATGTGTCTTCATTTTCCTTTGAGTCTAGGAATTTTAAAATTTGTCTTATGACTTCTTCAATGACCCACCATTTGTTTAAAAATGTATTGTTCAATCTCCGTGTATTTGTATAAATTTCTATAATTTTGCATGTTGTTGATTTCTAGTTTTATTCCGTTATTCTCTGATAAGATGCAAGAAATTATTTCATTTTGGGGAATTTGTTAAGACTTGTTATGTGGCCTAATAAAAGAAATACTTTGAAAAAAAATTTTATCTGCTGAAGAAAAGAATATGTATTCTTCAACTCTTAAATGGTATTCTGTAGATGTTTATTAAGTCCATTTGATCTATAATGTAATTTAACTCCAATTTTTAATTTTTTTGATCTGGGTGATCTATTGAGATGTGTGATATTGAAATCTCCCACTATTATTATATTGGGGCCCTTCTCTCCCTTCATTTTCAGTATTGTTTCCCTGATTTTGAGTACATATATATTTATAATCATTATACTTCTTGATATTTTTTTCTTCATTAGTATGTAGTGATTTTGTCTCTTTTAACTGATTTTGGCTTAAACTCTCTTGTCAGATATGAACATAAATACTCGTGCTTGCTTTTGTATTCCATTTGCTTAGCATATCATTCTCCATCCTTTCTCTTTCAGTGGGTGTGTGTCTTGGCTGTTGAGATGAGTTTCTTGCAGGCAGCAGATTGTTGTATGTGGTTTTCTAATCCAACTAATCTTTCTACATATTTTTTTAAAGAGAGAGAGAGAGAGAGAGAGAGAGAGAGAGAGAGAGAGAGAGAGAGAGAGAATTTTTTAATATTTATTTTTCAGTTTTCGGTGGACACAACATCTTTATTTTTATGTGGTGCTGAGGATCGAACCCAGCGCCCTGCGCAAGCCAGGCGAGTGGGTTACACTTGAGCCACATCCTCAGCCCCTCTTTCTACATATTTTAATTGGAGAATTAAGATCATTTTCACTCAGGGTTATTACTGACAGGCATGTTCTTGTTCCTGTCATTTTGTAAGTTTCCCTTGGGTTATTTTGCTCATTTTAAGTTCATTTTTTCTCATTCTTATTCATATTAGAAATTAGATGGGTTTCTGTTATGCTTGATTGTTTTTCCCAATTCTCATTTTCTTATTTATTGCTCTAGTGAATTTTATTCTCTTCCCTGCTTTCATAATTGTGCTTATACTTCTTCTTCCAGGATTAGGATTCCCTTAAGTATCTTCTGTAATGTTTGTCTTGTGATCATGGATTTCCTTACTTTATGCTTATCATGGAAGGTCTTTATTTAATTCTGATCTTGAAGAATAACTTTAGTTGGTATAGTAAAATAGATTGACAATTATTTTCTTTCAGAGCTTGAAATTCATCATTGCACGCTTTCCTAGCCTTTTGAGTTTCTGTAGAGAAATCTAATAGTATTCTGATGGAATTGCCTTTAAATATGATTTGGCCTTTCTTGCAACTTTTTAATATTCTTTCTTTGTTATGTACTTTGGGCAGTTTAACTATAATATTTGTGAAGAGTTTCTTTTCTTGTCATGTCTATTTGGGGCTCTAATGCCTGAAGGTTCTTGTCTTTCAAGATTTGCAAAATTTGATGCTATTGTTTCACTGAATAGATTTTTCTATACTTTTAACCTGTAGTTCCCATATCTAGTCTGATTATTTGTAAGTACAGTCTTTTAATGGTATTCCATGTATCTTTTGTGTTCTGTTTCATTCTTTCTAATTTTCTTTATCACTGTCAGTGATAATTTATTAGCCTCATTATAATTTCCTCCACCTAATCTGGTCTATCAGTGAAGCTTTAAACTGGATTTCTTTTTTCTTTTTTTTTTTTAGAAGTGTTAAATATTCTTTATTTAATATCATACATAAACCACACTTTCTATAAGGAAAGAACAGCATTTTAGATACAGGGAATTCTAATTAAATTGGCATGGTCAACAAAAATACAGACAGTGCTTCCTTATCTTCAACCACTGCCTTTAATAGGCTAATGAACACAAATTGAAACAAAGGTGAATCATGCTTGGTTCTGAGAGACTAAAGGGATTTCCCCCATATTTAAACATATTCACATAATCAGTTCTGTAAAACTAAATATAAAACCAGTTTTCAGATGTCATTCACCATTTTTGTGAAATACTGAACATTACTAATTAAGTCCAACCATAACTTTAAAAAGGGGAAACAGTGATAGAATTTACTGAAGTGGGAATATAACCAAAATATTAATTTAACTACAAGTCAGTTTTACCTAAATCAGGATTGTCCAACAAAAATAATTTTGTCAGTCATTCATGATCTGATTTCTGGTGTATCACATCAATTAAATTATGGTGCACATAAAAAAGCCAAGAGACATTTCTGTTTGGTAATAAATAAGGCAGTAGCTATTACTCATTAGTGGCTTTTTTGAGGTAAGCTATTAGGTCTGCCCTTTCTCCCTTCTTCTTAATGCCAGCGAAGATCATTTTTGTTCCAGGGATGTACTTTTTGGGATTCTCCAAATACTCCAGCAGTGTATCCTCTCCCCAGGTGATGCCTTTGTTCTTGTTGGCATCTGTATAAGAGAATCCAGCAGCCTGACCTGTCTTCCGCCCAAACAGTCCATGGAGATTTGGCCCAGTCTTGTGCTTGCCTCCCTTTTCCACGGTGTGGCACTGGGCATACTTCTGAACAAAAATCTTCTTGCCTTTCTCAACATCACCCATTTTTAATTCGTTCTTTCATCGCTAGTGCAAAGAAGGTTCCCGATCCTGGATTTCTTTTTTAAAAACTTTTAAAAACCTGTTTCATTAAGCTTTTATTTCCAAGGTTTCTGTTTGATTCTTTTTCAAAATCTCTCTTTACTGAATTTCTTATTCACATCCTGCATTAACTTCTTTAATACATTCAATTGTTTTCTGTGTTCTCTTGGCATTGATCATTTCAGAAATAATTATTTAGAATTCTGTATCTGTCATTTCATCCACTTCAATATATTTGAGATTTGTTACAATGGAATTATGAAGCTTAGGAAGTGTGATAGCATCTTTTAAAAAATATTTCTGTGTTTCTACGCTAATTTGAGCCTCCGTTGGAGCAGATATCTCTTCCACTTTTATGTGAGAGCCTCTTAATAAGCAGCCTTCAGGCTGGGGTTGTAGCTCAGTGGTAGAGAGCTTGCCCAGCATGTGTGAGGCACTGGGTTCGATCCTCAGAACCACATAAAAATAAATAAATAAAATAAAGGTATTGTGTCCATCTACAACTAAAAAATAAAAAAGCAGCCTTCTCTTATGATGTTTCTTGAGATATCAGTGTTTCCTGTAGTGTTGAGTTTAATTTCAATTGATCTTTGTCATATAATCTCCCTGTGGAGATTATTCTTTCACTGTGATTTGCAGGGTTTCACACAATGTGTACTTTATATTAGAGTGTGAGCAATCTGCTTTCAAGGTAGGTCTTGACAGAATGGGGTCCCTCTGGTAATTTAGTTTGGTGTGGTATAGACTGAAGGATATATAGGGTGCACCCTCTAGGTCATCCCAACAATGGGAGTAGAAGCCCCTATCAGGTGAAGGGGATTTCCATGGGCACTATTAGAATTGATTCTGTTACTTGAAAGGGAATCTGATATTGGCTGTTTCAATCATAGTGAATGGTCTGAAACAGCTAGGAGTTTATGTCCCTTATTTTCTTTATGCAAATGTCTTAGAAGCATCTGTCAGGGTTCAAGTAGGTCTGAATTCTTCTCAGCTGTGCTGGGAGTATAGCTCAGAGGCACAGCACCTGCCCAATGTGTGTGTGGTCCTGTATTTGATTCCAAGCACCAGGAAAAGAGAGAGGGAGAGAGAATAATACTAGAAACAACAACAACAACAGTAATGGGTTAAAGTGGTCAAATAAAAAATAAAAAGGATAATGAAGAAGGGACAAACAATATAAATATAAATAAAAATGGAGGGCTGGGGTGTGATTCTGAGGAAGAGCACTTGCCTAGCATGCTTGAGGCCCTGTGTTCAATTCCTAGGACTCACTCCCCAACCCAGAAATAAAAATTGGGGCCGGGGGGAGATTGAGAGAGAAGAAAAGAGAGTGAAAAAAAAACCCATTTAAAGAATTAAAATATAGAATAACAGTAGGAAAAAAATGAGAAATAAAAGGAAATAATAGAATAATAGAACAAAATTTTAAAAATTATGAGTCAAAAATTTCCCCTAACCAAGTTGCTTAGAAACACTCCTCTCTGGATATGATTACAATCTGCCAGGTATGGGGTTGGGGTAGTTGTTACTAGCAGCAGTATGTTGAAATTCCTCTCAAGTCTTGCCAAAGGAGTTGTGGTGAAAGCAGGCTGTTCCCCATCTTTGTCACTAAACAGGTTAAGGGACTTTTGGCCATATTGGAGGTGTGTTCTCTCTGGAAGGATTTAGACTGTGCCTCCAGGGATGTGGCCCATATCCAAGCTGTGGTGGATACCCAAAATTCCTCCAAGGGTTGGGGGAGCAGTTGAACCATCAAGTTCCATTCTGGAGGAGGGTTGTGGGAAGAACTAGGAGATTTGCTAATCAGTTCCTGGTAGTCTCTTCATACCTGGCCCCCACACTAGTCAATACAGAACTGATGTTGCTTCATGTCACAGAAAGCAGGATCACTGAACTTCTGGGCCCTCTACTTCCCACACCATTGCATTCCTGTGCTTCCCACAGAATGTACCTTTCAGTGAATTTGTGACAGAGACACTCTTCCAAACCACAGCTGTCTCGTGTGGCTGCTGCCTTCCCGTTCAGTGTGGCAGGGTGTCCAGAGGAATTCTGAAATGTGATTATGCTGGGTTTTCTGATCCCCAGAACAGTTTAGTCCTAATAATAGGAACCGTCTGAAGATGGCTCCTGGCCATGGCACTCTGAGGGTTGGTTAGCAGGTGCAGTGTGTGGCTTCTCTAAAGTTAAGTTGTAATGTAGACTCCATGTCACTTATTTATTTAAGGCATTTGGATGCTCCTGGTAGCCTTCTGCACAAAGCTGTGACCCTTAGTCTTTCACCTTTACCTGCTCTGAGGGGAGAGTCCCTTTCCTGTAACTGAGGTGCTGGGTGCCTGAAACTGGGGTACTCCACTTCTCTTGTTTTTCTCCCTAGTCTCTGGAATCCACCAGGTTTTATTTTCTTTGTTGTCAATTTCCAGTTCTAACCCACAGCCCCTCCCATCCAGGAGCAGTCAAATACCAATGGCTTTGTTTCCATTCCATGGAGGAGCAAATTAGTGCTATTTAAGTCTATTTCATTATCTTAAGAATGCCCAGATTCTGCAACCTGTATACTCAGAAAAATGAGAAATTATATCCCATCTGATTCAAATGTATGATATGTCAAGATTACTGTACTGTCATGTGTAACTCAGTAAAACAAAAAACAAAACAACAACAACAACAAAAAGAATGCCCAGAGAAGTGGATTTTGACTGACTGACATAGGGATGGTAGTAGTGATGGTCAGTTCTGCTGGTTGGATCCATTGAGTGCCTAAGCCACTTGAAAGGGAATGAATGCAGGTTAAGAAACAGAAAGAAGAGGAAAGAAACAATCATGCCAATCTTTTTGAAAACCTTGTTAGAAATATACTAGAAGAATAATTTTGCTCTGGGCCCACAAATTATGTGGTGGGTTCTGCACCTAGGTGTTCAGGTCTCTCAAGTATAACGTAAGTGAGAAAATATGGTTAAGGGCCTATTTTATCACTTTCCATTAAGTTTATGTATCCAGATGAGCCTCTAATGAAACTGATGCCCTTTTAAAAAAAATCTTAATTGATTTAATGTTTAATTTCCTTTAATAGAATATTTTCTGAGATGTCTTCCTTGCCTAGAATAATTTGTATACTGATTTAGAACCTAGAGTTAAAAAGGTGATTCAGGAGCTGGGGCTATGGCTCAGTTGGTAGAGTGTTTGCCTAGCATGTGTGAGGCACTGGGTTCGATTCTCAGCACCACATATAAGAAAGTAAATAAAGGTCAATCAACAACTAAAAAAAAATTAAAAAAAGGTGTGACTCAGGTTTTGAAAACATGTATTACTTCTGTCCTTTGAATAAAAGAAGTTTTTGAAATATTTTGGGTTAACTTTTTTTTTTGGTAAGGTGACAGACATGTTACAACCTCACGTTTCATAGGTGCAGTCTACACTCACCTTAATTGGTCTCATTTCTTAGTGAAGAACTGAGAAATTTATTGGCTGGTAGGTCCAAACACTGAAAGGAACAGCAATTCTATGAATATTCGTTCCTGAGATTTCTCAATCTTCATACGTGCGGCTCAGGTCAGGGGTGCAGTCCAGGGTATTATGTGCTCCCCTGTGTGTTGGAATGAATGTGAGCTGGTTGGCTTGGTAGGTTGTTGCTGGTAAGAGAAGCAAAGTCATGGGGGCGGGGTCGCCATTCCTTGTGGGAGCCTTCTACTTCCTGTTTGCACCCTGGACGCTTAAGGTGAATAGTTGAACAATTTTATAAAAATGATTAATTAGGAGACAGTCATGGTGAGAGTGGAAATAAATGAATAAACTACAGTTATGTGAGAAACCCTGCTAATAAAGACTTCTTAGTATCTTCTAGTAAGCTGGGAGCTTGACTGGTGGGTTGACAGACTTGTGTGTCTGACAATATTAATTGCAGGGTTCTACAGGCCAGGTTTCTGTAGGTTGGGTGGAGGTGCAGTCCACTGGCATTGAATACAACACCCAAGAAAAAACATGTGAGTAGGAGGAAGAAAAGGGATTTCCCTGGGCTGCGGCAATGCTGATGCTGGTGAAATAGGATTTTCTTGAGCATTAAGCAGCACTTGCCAGGATTGGGAGCCTCTGAGCTGCACATCTGCTCTTGATCTGTGGAGGACTTGGGCAAAAAGATAAAAGTGTGGTAAGTTTTAGTCTAGTACTATGTTTCCTTACTAGTTGCTTTTGGCACACACACAGACATGTGTGCATGTGTGTGCGCCTGTGTGTTTATAAAACTGAACATAGGCTGTCAACTTTCAAACTATTATTTTTTTATTACAGAATATTTTTGGCATTAACTAAGAAACAAAGGCTAACATTAGCTGCTTCTGTGTTATCCCTGCTACCTTAATCCTAAAGTGCTTGATCTACTGACACCAACCAGGATGAATGGCTCAGAAGATAAAATTGGACCGAAACACTCAGAGGTTAGTTTGCCATTTGGGGAGTAACTTTCAGTATAATAATACAGAAAGAGAAAAAAAGGTTTCCATTCATATAAATCTAATTTGAATCTGAACTCTCCTATATATTTGTAACATTGTGCAAGTAACTTAATCTCTCTGATCTCCAGTATCTTTTCTTGTAAAATGGATGTAATATCAGCTTCCCAGGGTGGTAAGAATTTTTTATGAGGTAATGTTAGCAAGGAGTCTGGTGCAGTGATTGGCTCATGGCTGAACACTATAAAAGTTCATTCCTTTAAGTTGTCAACTCTTCTTCCACCCTGCTTCCCCAATGTTGGAGCCATGGCTTACAAGTCTTGACTCCTGCACGTCACCAGTGTCTCCCCAGTCTGCCTATTGGGTGTTGTGACTGGTTGAGGCAAATTTAAGACTAGCCCAATTCTAATTGTTCTGTGCACATTTCACTTCATTTTATGCTGGAACCCAGCATTATGGTTGGAAAGGCAGAGTAGATGTTGCAAATATGTTTCTTTAATGATGAATTTATTTCAGTTG